TTTAAATTGTTGAGTGCCGTTTAAAAATTTAAGAGAAAATGATCAAATTTAATATAAAGAAAATAAAAGAAAAAAAAATAAATAAAATGCAAAAAAATATGTGAAAGAACAGAAAAAATAAAAAAATCGAATAATCAAAATTTTGTTCATAAAAAAGTTATCTGTCCAAAATGGAAACAGCTTAGAAAAGGAAAAATATCCAATAATCTCGTTTTAAATTTTGTTTTTTTCATAAAGAACTTATTGTCCCAGAACTATCGAAAATGGAACCAGTTCAGAACTAGTTCGAAAGTTCTGCAGAGGTGGCAATTTCCACTTCGTAAGACATCGCCATGTAAAAAGAGACAGTTGAAAGCATTGCGTTGGGATAGATCGAGAACCAGTACCGCCTCTTAAGGAGCTAATTCTGCGCTAGTTCTGAACTAGCACGATTTACTGCAGGGTAGGATAGTACGGCACATCTGGCCTTAGTTAGATAGGAGCAGAGCATTATCTACGACAGGATGCCTTCTGATGTTGCCAGAGTCTTAAGGAATGCGTTCCATAACTACTTTATTATGTGCTGAACTAAGTACGGCTAGTACTTACATATCATTTTGTGAGCTTCATCAGAATGATGAATACAGTTCACTTCTAGGGAAAGGAAGAAGGAGCCTCCATTGCGGGATCACAACGAATCAATGGCGTTCCAAGTGTGCCTCCGTCCAATGCTAGATGAGTGCAGCTATCAATTACTACGGTATACCTTAAATTTTTTTCATTTAACGCCCAGTGGAAATCCAGCATTAGTCAATAGTTAATACTAAGTAGTATTATTCATCGGCGTAGCCAGAATGAAATTTAGGGGGGGCTCGACCCTATGAAGCTGGCATTTCTGGGTACTATTTTATATATATATAAGGAAAATTTGAAAGTTAGGGGGGGGGGGGGTGGGCTCGAGCACCTTTCACCCAATCGGATACGTTAACAAGGAAAACTGCTGAAAAAACTGTGCACCCACAACCAGTCACTGTTTGGTGTGGTTTTTGGGCTGGCGAAGTCATCGATAACATGACATAAACATATCGTGACATGATAACAAACTTTTGATGGCCTAAATTGGTATGTGGTTTACGCAGGACGGTGTCACTTGCCACACAGCAATATAAAACAATGACCTTATTGCGAACAGCTGTGGTCTTATTGAATCATCCTATACTACTTAGTATTTATGGAAAGCAAGCCGCTATTTTCCCTATTGTTTTGTACATACATTTATTACCTCAGCCCTAAATCAGTTTGCTTGGGAATACAGTTCGCAATAAAACGCTTTAATTGTTACTTGGTTATGTTACAAATACCCACTTGAGGCCTCATTATTCGAACTAAATATGCGCATATGTACTTACGTGAATTACCAGTTCAAGGCTGCTTACAAATGAAAAAAATGTGAACCGATAACAAAGAAACATAAGGACAAATATGTATGTATGTATGTAGTTATCATTACCATTACCATATAAGCTAATGTACATATGTATGTATGTATGTAAGTTAGTGTGCAGTGCGCTTTATTCAGCCACTGGAACGAATGGATAAGAACCGAACGTGGCCGACTGAATGCCAGTGCTAAGCCAATTGAGAAACTAACGGCAAAAAATTATTGGCTTACACACTCACAAACATATATATGTACATACATAAGTCAACTTAAGGCAGGCACTTGGCTTTGACTAAAGCTGCTTCAATGATTTTTAATGGTTTTCCTTTTCACTGATAAAGGCGCTACTACCCCACCCAGATAAATACATACATCCAAGCATAAAGATATTACATACAGGGTAGCTGACAAAAACTGCAACTAACTCGTATTCATTGACCGTGGGGTCAACATAAACGCCCAAAATTGTTGGTAAACTGTCCGAGAGGAATCACTCAACAACCCTGGGCAGATAAACATTTTGGCCGCAGACGTTGAAACTTCCAACAGAACTCAGCACCTTCGCACGCATCAACCAAGAATGGCTAAAAAATAACGTTCCTTCCATCAATACAATGGCCACCATGTTGACCATATGCAAACCCTTTGGATTCCTCGGTATGGGGTATTTTGAAGAGTAAAGTCGGCACTAAAAAATCCGACGACAATGGGTAAAAAGACCTCAGAGCCAGTTGCGGGTAGGGTGCCATATGTAGCTTCATTGATCGCTTGAAGGCTATAATTCGTGCCAAAGATGCGCATATTGAGATAAAATGATTTAGTTATAAAATACCAAGTTTTTTTTTGCCCAGTTTTTACTTACCTTCACTCCAATCTAACAGAAATAACCAAAATATAGCGGTTTATCTTGTTGCATTTTTCATCAGCCATCCTGTATGTATATCCTACGTACATTTGTATGTGTATTGGCAAAAACATACACATACTCATATCCATTGCAAACATTTATATGTATCCAAAATTGGCATTCATCTTCAAACAGATATTGAATTCTATAATAAATGAAGAGCTTTTCTATGCGCAAAACCCACACGTCATTGCGACACAAACACGAAATCTGTATTCGTGCCAACAGTAAACCTGTTTGTTAGTTTATTTGTTTGTGAGCGCCGAAAAAGTTCAATGGAGCGACCAAAATGGGAATAGCGCATGAGCATCACATCCTTCAAAAAATTTTCATTGATGAAAAATATGTCCTATCCCACTTGGAAATTGGTTCAGTGCCGTAACAACGCTTACACCCGCACAGCACACCGACAGCACCAACATCACATAGATGCAAAAACAGTTGCAGCAGCAGCAGCAGCAGCAAACATGTTAACACAAAACAACAACAACAGAACGAAAAACTTGTTGGCGACTGTTGGCTAAAAGGCATAGAGATATAGAGAGAGAGCTCGCAGCAGGTAGAGAGCAAGTAAAAGCTTAGGAGACGTATCCAACCCCGATGTGGGTAACTTTTCACAACTGACAGCCGCTACCCAACACCCCACCGCCTGTAATGCCATCGCCACCTGTTCGTATTTCATTGAACTACAGTTGTGGGTGAAAAAGTTGCGGCGCGCGGCCTTTGAGGCTGGAGCATATGTATGTATGCAAGGGAAAATTGAATGCAAAGTTAATTCGCAAAACAATGGCGCAGTAGTGATTGTTGCTTTTGGCCGCAAAATTTCATTTCGGTATATGTGTGTAGTAGAGGAGGTGTGGAGAGGCGGTGGTAGGCTTTTGCCTTGCCTTCGTGTTTGTGTGCAGCTGTGTGTGCCTGTGCTGTTGGTTACTCATACGCCTGCGTGTACCTAATTGCTGAGGGGTTGTATCTACAGTGTTTAAATAGCGCAAAAATAGGAGATAGAATTTAATTCTAGATTTTAAGTGGACACTTCGTACATTTAGAAATCAAATGGTGAACTTACTTACGAGCACGCAATTTTCAGGGTGCACTACAGTACCTACATAATTTGACAGAATTTTTATCGCATCTTTCAAAAAGTGTCTTATATATATATATAATATGCCTTTAAGTCCTTCAAAGGACAATCGCCTGTGCTGTACGATAGCTTTTTCTACAACACCTGGTGCTGCTATTGATGTTATGCTACGCTTACCACCAATTTGCACCTTTACATGTGGGAAAGTCTTAAAGACCACCTGCTGGCTTAAAAGCAATGAATGTTGGTGTGATACTTTGAGGTCCAGGTTTCGGTGTCTATATCGAAGATAATGGGGATGAGCTTCACTTTTCCCTTTGGGAAAATGCCTCGGTATTCCAAGCCGAGTTATTTGCAATTCTAAAGGCCATGGACTACGGGGTGGAAAATACATGGAGAAGCAGGAGTTTACGTGCCAAGCTGCGCTCAAGGCATTGGCTAGACCTTTAACTACTTGGAGATTGGTTCGGCAATGTAAGTCTCGACTAAATTATGTTGGGAAATCTAACCAACTTGTCTTACTGTGGGTGCCCTCGGCCATCAAAGCCTCCGTCAGAAAACGGATGAATATTTCGCTCTGGCGAAATTCGTGTTACCCTCTTCATTGAGAAGATTGGACTGCAGACAAGTTGTAGGACTGTTGATTGGATGCTTTACTTGGCACAAACACTTGACTGTGACTCCCACTTGCCCTTCCTGCCTCGTAGAGGATGAGAAGGTGGAATAAATACTTTTTGTATCTATGCACCTCCGTTACAAGGATTAGCTATGAGGTTTTTGGCAACGACGTGTTGGGAGATGAACAGCTGAGCCCCAATAATCTGTTTCGAATTTTTCGAGAATCAAATGCATTGAAAACAGATTACAACGAACATGAAAATAGTAGGTACACTAGGCGGCATGTAGCCTGTGTTCTGTTTTCTGCATTCCTTGTTATGTATGTACATATGTATATGTATATAGTTCCGAAAAAAGGTCTCCCATTTCAAACCAAAATTGGTTTTGTGAGGTTAAAAAGAACAACAAATTTCATCTTATGAATTCTGACTTGAGATTCGGATCTAGTGATCCAAAATCGGAATTCATTGCTCTAATTCGCCATACAGATTCTGTTTATTGTTTATTTTATGACGCTTTGCTACCATTTCTGCTTATTCATTCATAATAAATCTGCCAGTTTTTCATGCACATATACCATCTCCTATGAAACACCGTGCTCTACTCAACTGAACCGGCTACTGTATTCTTTGTCTTGAAAAGCTGCAATAATTTTTTTTTCTTCATTTAACGTTTGTTACTTAGTATCCCTTGCAGCGAGCGGCAGGAGCATAAGCGGCAGCTTGGCGCTCCACCACAAAACAACCCTATGCATACGCTCTACTCTGCATGCGGAGGCGTTGGGACCGTTGGCTTATGCGACGACGACACCATTAACATTTTGCGTCACAGCTTGCACAAGCTACAAGTTTCCAGCGAACCGATTGCCGCCGAGGAGGCAACCGAAAACCGAACCCGAACATATGTATAATATGTAGATGGCCAAGCTCCAACCGTGGGACGTCAACGCCAGCATTTTCAGTACAACGGGATACTTCGTTGCTACCAAAACGAACGAAAACGAAACGGAAAACCACTTCGAACTGAAGAAAGCAACCAACTAGTACTACTTATAACTGTTACTCTGAAAATATATACTGAGCAAAAAACGCCTACACACAAAAATTGTTGAAATCTGTGAAATTTTAACTATTTGCAAGTGAAAAGTGTAAAATCGAAAAGTGCATTCGAAAAATAGGCGTAATTTTGTATAAAGTTTCGAAAAAGTGTAAGTGAAAAATTTAGCAACAAAAGCGAAAAATCTGCTAGCTACGTACGAATATTTGCCAACTGCCTACGCGCGTACGAAAATCGATAGCAAAACGACCAGCAGCCAAGCCAAGCCAGCACAGCACAGCAGCGACCAAAGAGCGGCCAGCCAGCGGTCGCGCGAACAAGAAACCAGCAAGAAAACAACAACAGCAACAACCAGCAATTGTGTGCACTGCATTAAAAGGGCAAACGCCAGCAGCAGCAGCATACATACATACATACATACACGCGCACGCACACGCACAGTGGGTCGGCGGCACACAGCCACACGCACCGGCATACGTACATATGTACCATATGGCAGCTGAAAAAAGCATAGAAAAACAAGTGTAATTGCAATTTTCCACTGGATTTGCACTTCAGAGCAATCAAATAACAAGATTGCGTGGAACTCTGAACTTAATAACTCAATTTGAACTGCGGCTGGCTGTAGCGCGGAAGTGAGTTAACGAGAGGAAGTGTCAGAGCTGTAAGCTGTGAAAATTACAAAAAGAACAAAAAAAAAAAGAACTTTAAAATATGGCTAAGCGTGGTGCAATTGCGTTGGCGCTGCTCGGTGCAGTGCTGCTCAACATTTTGGGTCACTGCGAAATGTCCGTTTACCCAGGTAGGTATTGGCTAAAAATAGCACTTGCACGCAATTACAACACAAACAATAATAATAATAGATACCAAAGCAAGTTATTCACACAATAACAAAAACAAAGCGTATGGACGCAATTACATATGTACATACACACACACACCCTTCCTCTTTGGTACAAAAAAAAAAAACAAAAAATGAAAAGACAAAACAAACACGCGTATAAAATTAGAAATGGAATTCAAATTAGTAGATATTTATAAATACTTTGAGGCACACATGCAACCCATACAAATCCACACATACATACATATTTATCAAGAAACAGGCAGAAGCTTGAAGAAAATGGTTAGACTTCAGGCCTCTTTGCTGTTATTACCTTTTGCTATTTTTAAACATTTCCTCTTACTTGCGTGCCGTATGCCATTTCATCGAATCCCCACATTCGATTATATCGAACAATCAACCAAACGAACGTTCTGTGTTATTAGCCATGCCACAGCCCGAATGCACCTCACCAGTAACTTCGTGTTTATTGGAACGAAGACACTCGAGCTGCCACAGGAAGTAAGGATTGGGGTTGCCATTGCGAAAATTTCTTTGCTTCTAAATTAAAACTGTTTCCGCTCACCAATTTTGTGCTAGAAAGCGAAAATTCGGTTTTTTTTTTGAAACTGTGTATGAAAATTTTCATAAATTAAAATTTTTTTTAAGTATGTATATTGGGAGGCCCGACTAAGCAAAAATGCAGAAATTAACAAGCGAATTGATCGCTTACACCGTGGACAGTAAATTTTACAAAAAAAAAAAAATTCTATATATTCGTGAAACCATGGGCCAAATATAGTAAAACTACGTTTTTACTTTTTTTTCGCTGACGTCAGGATTTTTCAAAGGACTTTGAAATTCGAAAAATATAATTACATCAAAAAATTGCGCAATGTAGTAAAACGGTATGACTATCACATTAAAGTGAAAATTCTGTAAAATTTAGGCCGATTAAATTTTCTGGAGCATACGGACTATTAGGTATTGAAAATGTCCTTTTAACATTTTATCATTGAATATCCTTGAAATTATTTTCGAAAAAATTATATGTTAAGGACTAATATGCACTCGACCACATCCTCGAATTTCGTCCTGCGAACTTTATTCGCCTAAAAAAATTAAACTAATTAAAAGGACACATTCAATACTTATTCGTCCTTGTGAGCCACAAATTGTAATGGTTTGTAATTCTACAGAATTTTCGCTTTCATTTGGTATCCATGCTGTTTTTCTACATTGGATTGAATATTTTAAATAATTTTCGAAATTAATAATGTCTTTGAAACTACAAAATCCTTAAAAAAATACTGACCACAGATAAAAGCTAAAAAAAATATATATTTGGCTCATAGTTTCATAAGTATATTGACTGCTGCATGTGTTTCGAAATTTTTTCTTGTTTTTGTCGTATAGTAGTATTTCTATGAAAAGAATTTTCTAAAATTGTCGGATAAAAAATATAATTTGAGGATAGACAAATGCACGGGCATGTCAGAATAAGCTAAACTGCGACCTCAAAGGTCCTTCGCATCTCTAAAGAGAGTCCTCAACCCAGTATGCCCAATACGCCATCGGCTTCCCTAATGAATCCTAAAAGAGCCTTTGTAGTCGAATTCTTTATTTCTAAAGTCTCAAAGAAGTTTTCCGAAGTTTCCTTGTCCTCAACGGAGAGCCGGTATTCCGACTCTATGATAACACCTATTCGATGCATATGAAAACGTAGTTGTTTGTGGCCCGTTGGGACAGCGGCCAGGTTGGAAGCAAATAGTAGGGACTCCGCAGTGGCCCAGCACGCAGCACAGAGTTACTGTATTTTTTGCTGCCAGTATTTGAAGTGTGTTAAACCAGGCTCTACCAAGTATGGATTTTATCATCCTGTTTCAGAGGGTCCAGTTGGTTTCTTGGCTGTCTGAAAAGATATATAGGAAAGCACCGTTCAAAGTTGCTAAAACTTCAGCTTGGAACACCGTAGGCCGTGGGAATTGCTGGTCTGGTGGCGTGTCCATAGACATCTGCATCTGCTCTGTCATCCATCCTTGAACGTACTATTGGACCTATCTGGATTCAAGAACACGAAGTCCAACATTCGCCGTCTGGGATTTTCATTGGAACTTTCTGCCAAAGCAGATCTCTTTGGTTATGAAGTCAGAAATTCCGCATATTTCCCCATCCTGGTATCTTCCTATGAATAACTTCGTGAAGCTTCTTTATATGGAAGCAGTAATTGGACAGTCTATCTTAGAAACTCTCGAGGATCGGTACTGTCGGTAGTACTCAGTAAATTGAGCAAGTGATCTGGCACCTGTTGCTTGAGCTAATCAGCCCTACTGTTCGAGTGTCAGGTCACTTGTTCAATTTGGTGAATACCCCAATTAATTAAGTAGTTGTTACAGTTCATAACCGCGTGGATTCACAAAGGAGGACTCTTTAATGTCCAAGCATGCGGGACTACCACCGCAATCTAACATTAGCTAACCAAACCCTAGGGAACAGAGGCTCTTCGTCTGCGAAGGGTGGTGATTGAACTCTCGACGGTGATAATTTTTATTGAGGTTCGGGTGTTATCAGAAGAGATTATGTAGGGCACTTTGAGGTGAGGTGTTCTGACAGTTCTCCAGCATCGCCTACTCTCTGGTGGCTAAACTGCCTGATGGAGTTTCGATACTTATAGCGAGGAATTTTTGCCTAAAGATTAATATGCAGCTCTCAAAAACTCCATATAAAAAAACGCACAAGAAATGGAGAAGAAAAATTTCTTGTGTCAGACATCAAAATTCCTTCGACACTACTATTCACCCAAACGAAATAATGGCATTTTTTTCTTGACCGCGTTCTTAGGAGCTGGATACTAAGCTAGAGGGTGATGATTGTCTGAAATAATATACGAAATTGAGCAAGTATAATAACACCATATAATGGTAGTCTGCATATTGAAATTAGAGCCGCAACATTTGAAAGAAAAATCACGAAATTGGCAACCCTATTAGAGATGTGGTTGATGGTAGAGAACTTTAGCTTCGTCGAGCCTGAGTGTTGAATTCAACACGCAAAAGCAATCAATTGAACACTTCACGTATCGAGTAGATATTTTAGACATACACACACACCCAGATAATTGTATTGACACACACCCACACATGTATGTATGCATATACAGCATAATCCCATTAAATATTTCTAAGAATACGCCATTCTGAAGTTAAGCTAAGGGGGGCAGCGGAGGCAAATAACGAAATACTAAAACAAAAACGGATTAAGCACATAGGAAGAAAAGTGTTGATTCAAGAACTCGGGCGCGTTGTAGCCGATTATCTGCCTCACTCCACTCCACTCAACTACAACAAAATAAAATTGTAGCAACAATTATCCACAACGAATACAGAATTTCTTGTAATTGCTAGTGGCTTTCGTGCATACACAGTTGGTAGTGTAAAAGGCAAATGGAAAATCAACACTGCTCGGCACTTCATTGAGCCATTCGTACGTTCGGTCGCGCTTGCTTGCCGTTCACATTTCATGCGCCTGCATATAGTATTACAAAGAAACGCGTCAGCATAGCGCTCGCGTCTATCGCCACCACCACCACCACCACCACCCCTCAACCAAAACGACCTGCTGCACCTTTGCATTCTAAGAATTCCAAATATAGACTTTAGCTTACCTTACCTTTTACCTTCCATAGCCAGCAGAGCCGCAGCAGAGAAATGTAATACGTAAAACATTTTCCAACATCTGGTACAATTTTCATGCTCTTTGTTGTTGTTGTTGGTAATAAAGTTTGCGTGCGCTGTGCTTGTTTTTTTTTTGTCATCCTTTTTATATACATTTTTTGTATGAAAGTAGTTACAGTTTTTGTACGCTCACCACCGTTTTTTTTTTTAATGAAATTACCTTTGCTCATACTTTCTCTACCCTCAATTTAACCCTGTTATTTAATAGTTTATGGTGAAGTTACTTTTGCTGCTGTACTTGTATGGGGTTGTGCAGGATTTTACGTTGTATTTCAGTCGCCGATGTCCGATTAAAAGCATATAAATAGAATTATTGGCTTCCGATGTGTTTCTGATAATCACTAGACAGTCGGGCAGAAATGGAAATGGATTATGTATAAAGATAAAGATAAACAACAAAAAAGTTCAAAAAACAGCATCAAAAATCGCATTATTATGATTCCGAAGAAAATTTGTTTAAAATATTTTTATGCAAATTTTTTAAGCTTAAACAGTTTAGTCATCTGAGGCAAGTTGTTCAAAAAATATTGAAAAAAAAAAACTATTTTAAATAATAAAATTTTTGAAGGTATTTTCAAATCGGTCTAGTCAACGTAAATCTTAATATTTTTAGAGATATTTTTATGAAAGTCTTAACTTATAATAGATTTTATAATTCAAGTGGAAAAACAGGACCGATTTTTGTTTTGTATGGGGAGTGATGCAGTATAATGTACATATATTAGGATAAATGTATTTATTTCTAGGATTTTCAAGCAACAATATTTTCTAATCTTTAGTGGTTGAGATATGGAATTGAATTTTATGAAAAATTCCCCAAAAAACAAACAAAAAATCGGTACATTTTTTCTAAATTTGTTACTATTTTCTAATTTAAAAATGCATGTGCATAAAATTAGCGCCCATAGCATACAAAAATATTTATAAAAATATGTGTGTGTGTTTGTATGTACATATGTATCATAGTGTTTAAAATCAGATACAAATGCGCGCATATATCCATAGTATACATATCTACGAGTTACATTCACAAACACGCGCGAGCAATCATAGACGCGCACAATTACGTATAGACACATCCATACATATAGATATTTATGCATATTCCTGCATCTAACCAGTCATTATTTTATCATACATACATAAAAATATAAGATATGCACACATACGTAAGTACATACATATTATATAGCATACATATAGGCGCTGCTGTATCTCTTATCCTTGCCGACGTCATTGCCCAAA